TTCCTTTTGGTAGTACTTCAAATAGCTTCCTGTGAAAGACTTAATAGGAGGTAAATCTTTAGATGTATTTGAAGGCCTTAACTTCTTTTGTACCTCTACACATTTTTTATTTATTTGGAGTAATTTGACAGGGAAGTCTGTCCCTAAGCAAATTCCATGCCTACACACAGAATCTCTAAACACTTTTTATTGCTTCTCAATGGATTAGAAGATCTGGGTAAAGGGAATGTGTAGTATTACCAGATGCATTTAGGAGAAGTTTCCTGAAGTCAGTATATCACCTTTCATTTTTGTTTAGTATGTAGCTTTTAAGTTCCTGCTTGTAGCATTGCATCCTTGCCCATAGCTATGCTTAGAGTCTACAAAATTTTCCTGGTTTAACTTCTCCAAAGAATAAACCTTCAGGTTTATTATGGCTTAGGAAAATTGTGCCTGAATGGACTGGCTGGGAAAGAGAATCCAGGAGTCTAACTGCTCTTCATTTTTATTCTACTTGTATCCCAATTTGGAGAAGCCCATGATACCTCTAATTATTGAGAATATCTGCGTTCTACAGTGAAAATCACCTTGATTACGGTCTTCACCTAGAAGCTATTAGTTTTATCCCAACTGCTTAGTCAGTGACACTGGGTTTGGCTTTTGCTTCATCAGTATTCATCCAAATGCTTCCAAAACATTACTATCTCTCTGGTGCTAATATTCTCTCTTCTGCTTTCTATATTCAAGTATTTTTTTATTCTCTTGCTTGCATTTTAGTAGGATATTATGAAGAAACGTTGATAGATGCAGGTATGTAATCGGATACATTTAACTAGAAAGCCAAAAGAAAATATTTATATATAATCTGTATTTCTCTTTGCATTTATGAATAGAAAGCCAAAGTCCACATTAGCCCACCTCAGGAATGGCGGGCTTCAACCATACTGGTGTTAACCACGTGGTCTTCTATCTGCTGGGCATTCCAGGACGAGAAGACCTACATACATGGATTTCCATCCCCTTGTTCATTTCCTATGTCTTTGCTCTCCTTGGGAATGGTCTACTCATATTCATTATCCTCACCAAGAGCAGCCTCCATGAACCTATGTATCTATTCCTTTGTATGCTGGCTGGAACTGACATTGTCTTTGCCACCACCACAGAACCCAAGGCATTGGCCATTTTCTGGTGCAATCATCGGGAAATTTCACTTAATGGCTGCATTGCCCAGCTCTACTTCCAGCATTCCTCCTTCATCTCAGAGTCAGGCATCTTGCTGATGATGGCATTTGACCGCTACATTGCCATATGCTACCCACTGAGATACACGACAATTCTCACCCACTCCCTGATTGGGAAAATTGGTGTGACTGTTTTTGTGAGAGCACACTGTACAATTTTCCCCATGATATTTCTTTTGAAGAGGCTGACTTTTTGTAAAAATAACATCCTTCCACATACGTTCTGTGAACATATTGGCTTAGCCAAGTATGCCTGTGATGACATCCATGTAAATATCTGGTATGGGTTTTTTGTCTTAATGTCCACAGTGATCTTAGACATTGTCCTCATTTTTGCTTCCTATGTTCTTATCCTCCATGCCATCTTTCTCATTCCTTCTCATGAAGCTCGCCACAAAGCTCTTAACACATGTGGCTCCCACGTCTCTGTCATTTTCCTCTTTTATGGTCCTGGAATCTTCTCAGTTCTCACACAACGCTTTGGACACCATATCCCACTACATGTCCATATCCTGCTGGCTAATGTCAGCATGCTTGCTCCGCCTATGCTGAATCCCATCATTTATGGGGTCAAGACTAAGCAGATACGAGAGCAAGTGGTTTATATGCTTTTTCCAAAGCAGAAATGACTTTGGGGATGCCAGAGACTGATTTCTCAGAAATTCTGGCCTTCCATGAGTTGTGCTTTGGTAACAGTGAACAGGAGAACAAGAACTGAGTCACTAGGAAAAAATGGCTCATTGAATTCTGGACCTCTGGAGCAACGTATCTGAGGTTGTGAGACTTGCCTTTCTAATAAAGCTGAAAGGAATGCTTGTGGGCTGACTGAATTACCTACCACTCATTATATGAGGGGGAGCTCTGGTAGCATAGTGGCTAAGACACTTGCCTGCTAACCAGACGGCTGGCGGTTCAAACCCACCAGCCACTCCTTGGAAGGAAGTTTGGGCAATCCTACTTCCATAGTGATACTGCCTCGGAAACCCAAGGAGGGGTCACTATGAGTCGGGTTTGACTCGACGGCACATAACAACAACAACAACAACATTATATGAGGAATAAACAAGTTGCTCTCTAGTAGTCATGTTTAACTGTATAATCAACTGAATTTTGGGTAAAGAAAGTGTTTAAAAATTCTTTTTTATACAGGACTACAATTTTTAAATTGTTTTACAGAGCTGTCTTTCATTCTTGGGGTTCTTTAAATGTAGAGATGGCCTTCTAGCCATGCTTGTTTGTCTAGTGCTTAGCCCAGGAAACGGACAGAATGGACACCAAATCTATTTTTGTTAAGACAACTGGAAAATCTTAGTAAGTGTAAAGAAGATAACTTAGTCATAAACAGTGTTAAAATTTGGGTTTACTTCCTTCCAGACTTTTTTCAGTGCATATATTTTTTCACATTATTGCCATGTAAAAAAAGAACAAAAACAAAATTCTTGTTTATAGACTTTTACTCATTACATGATATTCCATCATAAACAAAACATAATTTCCTTAATCATCCTTTTGTTTTCATTATATTTTTAAATAAATTTTTTGTTTTAGGACAGTTTTAGATGTACAGAAAAACTGAGAAGGTAGTATAGAGTTCTCATACACCACCAAATCCCATTTCCCATTATTAACTTATTATATTAGTATGTTACATTTGTTATCATTGACAGATCAATATTGATACACTATTATTAACTAAAATCCATACTTTATTAAGATTTTCTTACTTTTTACCTAATGTCAATTTTTGTTCCAGGATCACAACATGGATACCATGTTACATTTAGTTGTCAAGTCTCCTTAGGTTCTTTTGGGTATGGCAATTTATCAGACTTCTCTTGCTTTAGATAACTTTGACAATTTTGAAAAGTATTGATCAGGAATTTTGAGGAATGTCTCTCAATTGGGTTATTTCTAATGTTCTTCTCATGATTAGAATGGAATTATATGTTTTGGGGAAGAAAATCACAGAGGTAAAGTACCATTTTCATGAAATGGGTATATATGATCAACATTACTTACACTATTGATGCTAATTTTGATTACTTGAGGTGATGCTCATTCTTTTAGTTTTTAATATTTAAGTCTTCAAATCATTAATGATATAAAGACTGTCCTAGGGACACTTTCATGCCTAAGATTTACCTTCTTTCTTGAGGGGGAGGGATTACCTTTTGCATGATTTTTATAGTTTTTAATATTTAAGTCTTCGAATCATTAATGATATAAAGACTGTCCTAGGGACACTTTCATGCCTAAGATTTGCCTTCTTTCTTGAGGGGGAGGGATTACCTTTTAAGATTTTTATCTTAAGCAGAATAACCTTAAGAATGTCAAGGGTATGAAGACTTTAGGTTCCTACTGCACACTGAAAAACTGCGCCTAGAAAAATTATGAATAATTTTCATTCTTGTCAGAAATGCATGAAAGTGCCAAATTTACTGCTCTTTTATTAGCATTTAGTACGTAGTTCCATTTTTAAACTCTGATGAGAAAAAAATCACTTTCTCATTTTCCTTTAATTTGAATTTATTTCATAAATAGAGACACTGAGCAAATTTTATTGTGCATATTGAATATTGTATTTCTTTGTGGATTAATAGTAACAATCATTTGTTGGACCCAAGCAAAGTTTATTACAAACCCAATCTCATTTAATCTACACATCAGACTTACTGTTTTTATTCCATTTTACAGACATGGAATTTGAGGGTCAGAGATAATACCTAACTTTCCCAAGGTAGTAATATTTATTGCCATTAATTTCTCAGGATTTTAAGCTTGTAATTTCTGGAATTTTTTTTGGTTCCTTTGCTTGACTTTTGGTTTCTTTAAGGGGATATTAAAATATTTTCAAATTCATCAGTCTTTTCCTTTGTGAGTTTTACTGTTTAATCTCTGAAGATATTCTTCAATCTATGATTTTATTATTTCTTATGAATAAACTAAGCAAAATAAAGAAGATATATTTCAATTATCAATAATCCTTATGGTACATACTGAAGGTGGAATACATAGCCACCCATTTTCTTTTTCATGAAATATTTATAGAGTACTAACAACATGTGTTAAGGAGCCCTACTGGTGCATTGGTTAAGTACTTGGCTGCTAACTGGAAGTTGGTTGTTCAAACCCACCAGATGCTCCATGGGAGAGAGATGAGGCAGTCTACTTCCATAAAGAATCACTGCCTTGGAAACCCTATGGGGCAGTTCTACTCTATCCTAATGGGTTGCTATGAGTTGGAATTGACTTGATGGCTGTGGGTTTGGTGTTTTGGTTTTGGGTCTGATCTAAAGCCTGTGCCATTTTTCCTATGTTACATTGTCTTACATGTCTTAGAAGTTGTAGCATAATAGGAGAATTCAAAGAGATTGGGGTGGAAGTTGAAGAAAGATTGTTTAGGTAATCCAACATACCAAAATGGCAATTCTTAAAGTTAATGGAAGCTTTGGCCCTAGATATTACAGGATTCAAATATCAGCCTACCCACTAACAAGTTGTTTGACTTTGGGCAAATTTCTTCAGTGTCAGTTTCTTCATGCATAAAATAGTGATGATTTCAATGATCTCATAGATTTGTTGCAAGGGTTGGAAATATGAGATAGATTGATACAGTGCAACAATGGGCTCAAATGATTGTGAGGATGGTGCAGGAATGGGCAGTGTTTTGTTCTGTTGTACACAGGGCTGCTGTAAGTTGGAACCAACTCAATGGCACCTAACAATAGCAACAAACACACTTAGTAGTTGTTTAATAATTGCTGTCATAAAACTAAGAAGTGGTAATAGTAGAAATCGATTAGGAATAGTAAGAAATGAAAAGTTATATTGGATTTGGAAACAAGGTGAAAGATTCAGAGAAGGAAGTTTCATTGGCACGTTGGAAAATGGCACTGGGTGAAGATAGATGGAGAGAGAGCACATCCCTGCTTTAAGAACTGTGAAGCCAAAGGGAAGGAAAGTGGAGACACCTGAACAAATTCACACACGAAGGAGAAAAATCCAGCAGAAGAGGAGTAGTTGAAGTTACTAGAGAGTGATGGATTAATGGGTGAAGTTATTTAAAGAGAAGAGAGCATTGGGGTCCAATGCACAGATAGAGAGCTTAGCCTTAAGCAACAGGAAAAGGGGAAAGATGATTTGAATACAAATAATTTTGTAGGTGGCTGAGAGTGAGGGTGAGGAGGTTAAGGTATGTGGCAAAAGATGGCTTTGTTTTTCCCCTTGAAACAGGAGTCAGGAAATAAAGGTCATCTGATGAAAGGAAGGAAGGAGGAATAGGGCAGATATGAAGTGGCTAAAAGCATGACCTGGGGACTCAGAATGCCTGTTTTCAAATTCCAGCTTCACCATTTACCAGCCAAGTGAACTTTGGGGGTGGTGGTGGTGGTATGTAGGAGGGACTACTTAAACTCTTTACACTTTGTTTCTATTAACAGTAAAATGGTGAGTGACTGCAGATATCTCATACTGTGGTAAATGAGTGAGATAATGCATGAGTACAGCATCTGGTTCCAAGTTTACTTGTGTTACTATCATCAAGACCCTTGTGGCAGTAGCTGCCTAACTGATCTGCCTCCAACCTCCTGCCTACCTCCCCTCATCCCCATCCATCTTCACAGGGTTGTAACAGAGAACTACCTAAAACAGAATTTTACCACACCACTTCTTCACTATAAATCTTTCAATGGCTATTATTACTTCAACATATGCTGAGTACTATTAGCCTAGTACTTAAAGTCCTCGATGATTTGGAGCCTGTTTAACCTTCCAGCACTATTTCCTACCATCTTATACCATGTCCTCTTTGTTATGTTAACTGCAAACCAGTATAATTTTTCTCCATCTTCTACGTCCTTTCAGACCCCAGTGCCTCTGTTCATTCTCTTCCTTCCTCACATTGCTTTACTTGGCAAACTCTTACTTGCTCTTCAGGGTTCAACTAGGAACCTTTTCTGAGCTTTCAGGGAGTTGTCCATGTTTCCACTCGGTGTGTTTACTTTTTCTTGACACTGTCTACATACATAGATAGATATTTTTGCTTAATTGTCTGTCTCCAAACAGGCCATAGGTCCTCAACAAGCCATGCCTGGCAATATGGTAGGTCCTCAGTAACCAAAACCCACTGCCTTTGGGTCAATTCAGACTCATAGTGATCCTATAGGACAGAATAGAACTGCCCCACAGGATCTCCAAGACTAAATTTTTATGAAAGCAGACTGCCACACTTTTCTCCCACAGCATGTACTGGTGGGTTCCAACTGCTAACTTTTCAGTCAGCAGTCCAGCACTACCAGGGCTTCTTGCACTCAGTAAACATGTCTTAAATTAATGATCAATTCAGTTACCATTTTCCTTCTGAGATGTTTATCACATTCTGGTGGTCAAAGTGGAAACTGAATGTTATTCATAGCTCTTAGCTTAGTAACAATTTGAATCTAAGATCTGTGGGATTGTAGAGCTGGAAGGGCACTTTCACAGATAACCTAATACAACCTCTCCCCAACTTTAGTTTTAAAGGTAATGAGACTGTAATTTCATTGAAATCACATAGCTAGTGAATAGAAAAGAGCTCTGGTAGCATAGTGCCTAAGGCACTTGACTGCTAATCAGAAGGCTGATGGTTCAA